ATGGGGCCCCGCGCGGGATCCGGTTACACGCGCCGGCCGCGGCCCCCGCGCCGCCCTGCCCCGCCCCGCGCCGCCATTCATAAAACCTGGGGCGGGGGAGGGGGCGCCGCTCGCTGCGGGGCGGGGCAGTGCTGCTTGTTACGAAACTCGGCCCGTGCCCCCGCCCGGGGGAGATGTGCACGCGAAGTGCCGCGTGTGCGGGCTGTGTGCGCGCCGCTGCCCTGTGTGGCGCTTGTGTGTGTTGCGCGTGGCGTGTCCGTCCACGTGTGTTACATGTGTGTGTTGTGTGCGCACGTGCACATGCCTGTGTTGTGTTCAGTGTGCACATATTGTGTGGTGTGTGAATGGTAGCGCATGTGCATGGGTGTCTGCCTGGGCATGTGTGTGTTGTGTGTGTGCATGTGCACACGTTGCTTGTGCATATTGTGCAAGTGCGTGTGGTGTGTGCATCTGTGCTGTGCAGTTGTATGCATGACTTGTATGTGAGTTACATGTGTGCATCCATATGGCGTGTGCACGCGTTCTGCATTTGCCGCGTGCCTGTCTTGCATGGTGTGTGTGTGTGTGTGTGTGTGTGTGTGTTTTTGCTTGCACGAGTGCTGCTTGTTCAGTGTGTGTGTGTGTACTGCATGTGGTTGGTGTGTGTGTGTGCACGCGTGTACAGGGGGGTGAGGACAGGAATCTTGGTGCCTGTCTAACCCCCGTGCCTCTGCTCCCCACTCAGAGCAGCTGCGCCTCCATATCTGGCCCCTCCACTACTACTTTTCATTAGAAAAAAGCCCGGCAGTGGGTGCAGCCGCTGTCCCGCGACTTGGAGGGACCACTTGGAGGGACTTGCCCGCGGTGTGTTGAGGAGCCGTGCACGTGGGGCAGTTGGTGCCTTTCCACCTTCATGCTGACCCATGGGGAGCACGACAGCGCCACCGGCTTCCTGCAGATGAGGGTTTTATCCCCCTAAAGCCAACTCCCGCTGAGCACCTTGCTCTTGCTGCCAACAACCTGGGGTTTTGGGTGCGGTGGAGATGTGGGTTCAGCTGCTGCCTTCGGAGCACTGCTCTTCCCCGCATTAAATAAACTGGAACTTGCTTTCCATGAACTTGTTGCTATTTATATCCCTCTTTTTGCCATGTAAGGAGAAAACATTTTGTGCACCCAGCAGCGCCAGCTCGCCCTTGTCCCCTCTGCTTCTTCTCTAGGCTTGCTTCTAAGCGGGGGTAATCCATCCTTAGTGACGCCACACCTGTTGCCATAGTGACTCTGTGACATCACCAAGGAAAGGTTATGACCTCGGTGTTGGAGCAAGAGGCTGGGCTAGGGGAGGTGGGGGGGAGAAACTTGTGAATGAAGATGAGCTGTGGGAGCGAGTAACTGAACAAGTGGGGAACTGTCAGTGTCGAGGGATTAATGGTGAAGCAGAGTGCGCCGGGTGCGTGTCACAGGGCTGCAGCGGGAGCTGATCTTTCTAGGTTGCTGGCAGCGTTCTCCTGGGGCCGTTGGAGAAGGGGGAGTCTCTGCTGCATGCCTGAAAGCAGAAGCATATTTTGATTCGCGTCTCTCTCTCTCTTTCTGTCTCTCGGTGCTGCTGCTGTTCCTCAGTCTTAAATCAGCTGTAGTTGGAACTTGGACACCTCTTTTGCTGGAGCTGGCTTCAATGCTGGAAACACCTAAGGGGCTATTAAAGGTTTTGGAAGCACAATGGATGGTTTTTATGATCAGCAGGTCCCTTTCATGGTCCCGGGGGTAAGTCTGGCGGGCCTCTGCCTGCTCCCCCCCTCTGGTGTTTTGTGCCCTCTCTGCTTCTTAGCACGGGGCTTCTCTCTTTGTCCAGCTGCCTCTCGCCTGCAGCTGAGCAGCGGTGCTCATGGAAAGATGCTGTCCTTTCTTTCAGAAGCCTTGCGCGGAAGACTGTCGAGGCCGCCCAGTGACTGATAGAAAACGGAAGTTTTTGGACACTGATCTGGCGCATGATTCGGAAGGTAGCAAATCTTCTTTTTCCTCCCCCCACTCAAGTTTAAGCAGTCACTACTGTAAGTAGTGCCTGTAGCTGCTTCTCTTCGTGTAGATTGACTCTGGTTTTTTGTAACTGTCATCTGCTTCACTCTTTTCCTGTTCCAGAACTGTTCCAGGACCTCAGCCAGCTGCAGGAGACTTGGTTAGCTGAAGGCAAGTCTTCATCTCTGCCCTTTTTCCATACAAAACCTTCTAGTCGGATATAGTTGGAGAAACTAAAAGACCTCAAACCACTTTTTTTTCCAGCTCAAGTTCCTGATGATGAGCAGTTCGTCCCAGATTTTCAGTCTGACAACTGTGAGTAACTTCTTTACCATTTCCTTCCCATTTGGCTGTGAAAAATGTTCTGATCAATGCCATGCACAAAAAAAAAAAGTTTTGTTTGTGGTTTTGTCCCTCCTTCATTAAAAGGAGGCAAATGTGATGGTTTTCTGCACTGATTCACAAAACAGAGCAAGGTCAGGGAGAGGATAGCACCGACTTGGGTGACTTAGATCCTTCAAGTTGAGGCTTGGCCATATTTGTGAATGCTCTTCCTTTATTAAACAGCTGTAGAATAGCCACACTTGTAAATACCTTCTAAGTAGGATGTCTGGAATTGGTTAAGCACTTGCTGATTGTCCGCAATTCAATAGATTCTTCGCTTTTGAAACCAGTTTGTTAGGGAGCTGCACCACTTATGAGACTGATACAGCACTAATTGGTTAGTAGCATCTCTCTGCAAAGTCCTCAACCAGTTCTGGAGCTTTTATGGTCAATGCCTAGTAAAGATTGTCAAGGGCAAAGCTGAGCAGCGTAACTGGAGCAGCATCAGGGAGCTGTAATCACTGGCAAGTACAAGCGTTTTAAGGGAAGACCGGTGAAAATGCAGTCTCTTTTGAATTGCATGATAGAGGGAGAGTTGTTCTGTGCTCATGGTGCATGATAACAAACACCTGTGCCAGTCAGGGCTCCTAGTCCTTGCGTGTGGGATGCTTTTGTTCCTGTGCAGACATCGGACTCTGTTTGTGGTGGCATTGCAAGCTGAATGAAAGCAGGATGTTTTCAATTGTTACCTGCAAAAAAAAAAACAAAACCCCACATGTGCTAGTTTGGTATTCATTAATGGGCCTTTCTCTGAAGCCAAACGGTGACTGATCTGAAAGGAAATCAAACGTAGCCTGCAGTGGAACAGATTCTTCACCTAAGCTCTGTCGCAGCATGCAGCAGAGTCTCTTATAGCAAGCGCATGTTAATTATTGCTCTTTGATTACTTCTGAGTGAGTGGGACGCTTGCCATTAAACTGCTCCAGACAACCAATGTTTCTGCTGGATAGTCCTCCCCCTTCCCCCTCCTCCTTTCTCCCCGGAGATGAAAGGCAGGCCTAGAGTCAGGAGTAGAGCTGTGTGTTGACATTCTAGCCCAGCCCTTCCCGTTCTTGCTCGGAGCCATATAAACTGCTGCACGCGTGGGAGGGTGGCTCTTTTGGCAGAGTTGCTCTCGGATGCCTCTTTGGCAGCCTCTTGTGTCTTTGTAACCTGAAGAGTTTTTGAAAGACATGAAATGGCTGCTCCTGGTCACTGGGTTTGCAGTGGCTTGAGGGTGACTTGGTTGGGCTTGGTAGAAATAAACTGTGGCTCTCAGTGCCAGTTTGTAGTGCACGTGTGTTTCAAATGTGTTCTGCTTCTGCAGGAAATAACCCAAAGAGCCTTGTTGCAATGACACGTGTTTTGGGCTGAAGCGAGCCTGCCTGCAGAACTCCAGTGTAGGTCTTGGTTTCATGACGGAAGAAATCCTGAAGAGGTGCCATGCTGCTGGCAGATCTGGTAGCAGTCAGCACAGCCTGATAGCTTCCTGCTCCCTCACCTGGCAGAGAGCTAGGGAGGGAGGGAAAGAGCCCAACTGTTTCATAACTTAGTTGGCTGGGGCAGAGGAGGATTAGAACAGTATTTTTCGTTTTAAGGGAAGTGTCTCCTTGCCTTCAGGGGCTTAGCTGCACTAACCCACACTTCAGAGGGTTACTGTGGGGCTGTGATCTCCTCCGCTAATCTTTTTAACCTCTGCTAGTCTATAAAGAGGAACATGGCTGTGTTCAGTGAACACCCTGGGCAGTGCTGGAGCTGCTGTGCCAGCCTGAACTGACCTTTGGGGGCAGGGAGGCTGGCCTTGCCCTTTCCTCTGGGACAGCCAAGAAGTGCTCAGAGGAACAGCAGCCTCCGTGTCCATTCTGTCCTGTGGGTCTGGAGGGATGCATGGCCTTGCTCTAGTCTGTGTTCCTGCTTTGCCTGGTATTGGACGGGACTGCTGTGTTACTTCCAGGGGACACTGTCAGCTGCAATTTACCTGTGTTTCTGCAAGTGGCCTTGCTTCTGCTGTTGAGATTGGGTGGAGTTGTAGGTTTTGCAGGTATTTTTTAATTGCACTCAGTGGAGTTGATGGTGCTTTGTGTACAGTTGCTTTCACTTCTTCCTGCCGTTATGCAATAGCTCAGCCTACCCTCAGGAATGGCAGTAGCCTGAGCTCACAAGGCAGCCACTGCTGGGGACCTGGGTGTCTTGGCGTCACCCTAGTCCTTAGCGATGACATGCCAGGATTCCTTATTTGGGCAGGTTTTATTTTTATCCTGAGCGAATCCATTCTGTCATCTCTCCCCCCGCATCACCCCCAGCACCAGCATTGCCAAGTCCCCCTCCGCCGTAGTGTCGGGCTGTGCACTATTGCACTAATACGGCATTGCCCTATGGCGCAGCCAGCCTTTTCCTGGTTTCACTCATTTGATCCTTCCTATGTTGCTTTCACTAAATGGGAAGTGTCCTGTTTGGCTTTCCCACTGTTTAATAAACATCAGGCTCAGTAAAGTATTGTGCCTGCCTTGCCAAAAATCTTTGCCATATCTGGAAGTTTCTTGAAGAGAAGCCACCGGCAACTTTCTGTTTTGGAGATCCTCTTGTGTAATGCACTCCTTGACCACTGTGTTTCACAGCAAGCTGGGTGTCTTACAACTCTGGTGGGTGACTGAGTCATGGCATTGTATCTTGCTGTGTGTGGGAGAAATGATACTTGTGGGAGGTGAAATGTAGAGGGCCCCAGGATAAAGGTAGTGATGTTCTAAAGTTCCTCTAGGACACATGCGGGGGAAAAGCTGAATTCTTAGCCTTGAAGCTTCTTGTGAGACCTTTTCCCACTTCTAAAGTCAGCCTTCATCTTGCACAAATGCCTGTAGGTGGATACCTCCTCCAGCCGAAGTCCCAGCACAGGTGGTTGGAAGAGAGGGTTGAGAGAGGTGGAAATCTTGGCCTTGTATATAACCTACTCCATACCCTTTGGGCAATAACTCATACCCATTTTACTGATGGTTACACTGAGGCTTGCTCCCCCCACTGCTGCCTCTAGTGAGCAAGCAATGTGATGGCAGATCTCTGTGTCTACAGGGAGCCTTGCTGTGTTGGTTGGGGTCTGCCCCTGCAAAACCAGCAGGATTTTGTGTCTCACCGTAGCCTCTGAAGCCACTTTGGTAATGCATCAATGGTAACACCTCAGTTGGTGTGACCCTGTGTGCATCCTATGCTACGTCTTCTGCCGTCCTCCCCCCAGGGGAAGAAGTGTGTTCACCAGAGTGTTGGGCCTTGGTAGGGTTTTTTTCTAACATAGATGTTGCCTTCTGTCATGTCAGAAAGAAAATGACCTTGCTCTTGGAGTGGAAGGTGGGGAGGTTTGGGAGTGGCCTTTGTTCCTGGGGGGGCATTTGTTCCATAGTCCTGGGCTGTCTGGAGAGTTGTCTCCTACACGGGAAAGGACTGAGGGCAAACTGTGGAGTAGTTCTCAGTTGGCTGCTGGGCCCATGTTGATGCTCTTTCCCTCAGGCCAGAATAACACCTTAAATTGCAAAACCAAAGAAACATTGTTTACATGACTTGAGAAGAGTTTCATGCTTAAGAGGAAAGAAGCCAAGCATTATGGTGTGTCCCCTCAGGTCCCTGCTTTGCCCTTTTGTGGACAAGTTAAATAGCTCATTAACTTGCCCGGCGTGGCTGTACCTTGCTGGGCACTGTAGGAATGATTAGCTGTTACGCACCGGGTTTCTTGCCTTTGTCTTGCCAGAAGTGGCCGACGTGGTTGAAATGCAGTCCGTTTGCTGTGGGATTCCCAGTGCTGCGATGTATTTCCGAACAGGGCAAAGGCATGTTCTGTTGCTTCTGGGCTTTGGGTTTTCTTGCAACTTGTTTCCCTGAAATCTGAATTTGAGTCAATGGTATCTTCTTAAAATTAGCGCAGTGGATGAAAGGGGTGAAGGGTGTATTCTAGCTACCAGGGCAGAGAGCTTAAGGATTTGAAACATTAGGAGTATTTGAAATAATAACTTGTGAATGGCTCCCGGTTTATTTATTTTGTTGTTTAAACCTTAGAACACCTGTCCTTCCTTTCTCGCCCCATCTGGAGAGTCCGCGTATATGAACCATTTAGAGATCAGATTTCTAAAAGCGGAGAAATCAAAAGCCCTGGGCTGACGTGGGGGCTGCAATGTTTGTTTGAAGCTTGATCAGAAGAGCTCGAAAACTGTTGCTTTCTCTCGTGCTACTCTCTTTTGAACTTTTTACAGAGAGGAGAGGGAAGTGGCTGTAGTGGGTTGTGTGCAGTACTGTCTTGCTGGGTTTCAAAGGGCGAAGGACCCTTCCATCATCCAGCCCAAGGGCTCCCCAGTTGCATATGTGGTAAACTTCTGGAGGAGGATTGGGAGAGGCAATATAAATGGAAGAGAAGGAAGGAAAATTCAAAATGAAACAGCTCTACAGTATCTCTAGGGTGGCTGGAGAGGTCACAGTATCATTTTAGTGACCTGACTTGGGGACTTAGGGGAAAACAGCAATGTAACAAACTTTTAAAGAGGAATATGTGAGCCAAAGTAGTCTTTGAGAACCACTGATCTAACCCTCCAGTTCTCAGCCAGGGTTGTGAATTGCTTCAGTGGAGAATGCCCCCACCCTCCATTTCTCGGGTGAGCAGAAGTGGGCCCCCAAACTCACTAACAGAGCCACTTCCCGGAGAGGTGCGATCTCTGGAGTGGCGTGGTGCAGGCGGTTATTCCTGCTTAGGGGTTTCTGCCAGTCCCTCTGAGGACTTTACTTTTGCACATCCTTTCTCTTGCTGTCCTTTTGCAGCAGCAAATCAGATCTTTGCAGGCTCACTTGAGAAGGACTAGCTGCTGTGAGGTGGCAATAATAAGGGTTTTGGAGGAGGGAGAATGAGACAATCCCATTTGAAAAAGAGGGTGCAGAGAGGAAGGAGGGAAAGCAAAGAAGCCTAAGCTTTTCTTTGA